CATCCCAGCCCCTTGGGGACAAGGGTTCTTGAACACTGCGTTTTGGGTGTCTGGATGAGGTCTCCTGTGCCCCGGCGTGGGAGTGCTGGTGCAGCAGTACTGTCCCGTGGCTTTGCTGTGGTGTGCAGGGCCTCCGCTGAGTTGCCCAGGATGACTTCACCTTCCAGAGGCCTCTGGGGATCCAAAGCAGGTCTCGTCCCCAGCACGGACGTGTCCCGGTGGGAAGCGTGCTGGGGCCAGCGGCTCAGGCTTCAGCATCGTCCTGGCTCAGCGTGCCAGCGTCATGTAGGAGCGGCGTTGTCTCGGAGGAGGGGGACGGTTTGGTCTGCGTGGTGGGATGGCGTGGGCTCTTCTCGGCAGTGGTTCTCTGAAGAGGAGAGAACAGCAGTTACAGCCACACACTCGGTGGTGGCACTGTGGTCAGACCTTACAGTGCGCAGGTGTCACCACATCCCCACTTGGGACGTGCATGCCCCAAACCTCTTGGACTTTCACACAGCCAAGAACCCTTTTCTGAAGACTTACGGTACATAAAGGGGGCCTACAGGAGAGCTGGGGAGGGACTTTGTCCAAGGGCAATAGGACAAGGGGCAATGGCTTCAAACTGGAAGAGGGGAGATTTAGATTAGATATTAGGAAGAAATTTTTCACTGTGAGGGTGGTGAGGCACTGGAACAGGTTGCCCAGAGAAGCTGTGGCTGCCCCATCCCTGGAGGTGTTCAAGGCCAGGTTGGACGGGGCTTGGAGCAGCCTGGGCTGGTGGGAGGTGTCCCTGCCCAGGGCAGGGGGGGTGGAACTCAATGATCTCCAACCTAAACCATTCTATGATTCTAAGAAGATTTTTGCATCTCTCCCCCTAACAGAATGAAATTATTTCCATTCCTGCCCACCAATGCTTGTAAGACCCCCCTCAACGCTCAGCCTGAAGAGCTGTGTCACCAAGTGGAGGAGTTACGGCACAAAGTCAGCATGCTGCACAGTGTCAGAGAAGATGAAAGGGAGATGGACAGGATCTTCTCAGGGACACAACAGCTTGAAGACCCCCAGACCTCAGCTCCACTAGAGACACAGACAGCATCCATCCCTACTACAATGCAACCTCTGGGGAAAGATGGAAGCTGGTGCCTTCTGGCACCAAGAAAATGACTCCTGCTCCACCTAAAGGCTTACAACTACAAATTAGGTTCAATGCCCTCAAAGTTGAGGAGCAGCCAGATACGCTTTCAAGCAGAGCGTGTGGGCCCCCTGGCCCTAAATCATGCAAGACCCCCAGGAAGAAGCAGCAAGTGACAGTAGTGGGTCACTCCCTGTTGCTGGGGACAGAAGCACCCATATGCCCACCCGAACTGTCACCTAGAGACATATGCTGCTTGCTGGGGACCAGAATCTGAGGTATTGTGAAAGGTCTGTAAGGCTTATCCAACCCTTTACCTATTACCCACTGTTTCTTCTGTGTGAGCACCAATGATATCACTAGGGCCACCTAGAAAGTAGCAAAAGTGACTACAGAACTCAGGTGGGGAGAGATAGTCAGGGCAAAAAAGCTGGTTGATATTCAAGGATCACCTCCTCCAAGCGCAAGAGTGGTTCATCCCAACAAGCATCCCAAGTCAGGCAAAAATGCTGGCAAGCCTATGTGGATGACCAAGGAGCTCCTGGCCAAACTCAAACACAAAAAGGAAGCATACAGAAGGTGGAAGCAGGGACAAGTAACCTGGCAGGAATAGAGAGGCACTCTCCCAGCAAGCAGGGATGAAGTTAGGAAAGCCAAAGCCCAACTGGAATTGAATCTGGACAGGGATGTCAGAGGCAACAAGAAGGGCTTCTGTAAGTACAGAGGTGACAAAAGGAAGACTAAGGGACATGCTGGCCTGCTGCTGAATGAGGCAGGGGACCCAGAAACCAGGGAGCAAGGAAGACATACCCTTGGTGGAAGAGGTCAGAGAATAGGTAAGCAACCCAGACATATAAATCCATGGACCCTGATGGGATGCACCCATGAGTGCTGAGGGAGCTGGCTGATGTCATTGCAAAGCCACCCTCCATAACCTTTGAGCAATCACAGCAACTGAGAGGTACCCAAAGAGTGGAAGAAAGCAAGTGTCACTCCTATATTGAAGTTTAAGAAGGAAGACCCAGAGAACTACAGACCAGTCAGCCTCCCTTCAATCCTTGGGAAGGTGATGGAGCAGCTGATCCTAGGAAGTATTTCCAGGCACATAAAGGACAAGAAAGCCACCAGGAGTAGTCAGCATGGCTTCACCAAGGAAAATCATTCTTGATCAACCTGATAAATTTCTATGATGAAATGAATGGCTTGGTAGAGGAGGGGAGAGCAGTAGATACTGTCTCCCTGGACTACAGTAAGGCTTTCAACACCATCTCCCATAAGAACCCTGTAGATAAGCTATGAAGTATGGGCTGGACAAGCAGACAGTGAGGTGGACTGAAAACTGGCTGAACAGGCCCAGAGGGTCATGAGATGTGGCGTGTAGTTGGAAGCCAGTAACTAGCAGTGCACACCAGGGGTCAATACCGTGTCCAATCCTGTTTAACATCTTTATTAATGATCTGCAAACTTCCTGATGACACAAAACTGGGAGGAATGGCTGATAGACCAGAGGGTGATGCTGCCCTCCAGAGAGACCTCAACAGGCTGGAGAAATGGGCTGGCAGGAACTTCATGAAGCCCAACAAGAGGATGTGCAAAGTCTTGCATGTGGGGAAGAACAACCCTATGCACTAGCACATGCTAAGGGTCACCCAACTCTTAACCAGCTTGGCAGAAAGGGACCAGAGGGGCTTGGTGGACACCAAGTTGAACATGAGTGAGCAGCGTGGCCATGTAGCAAAGGCAGCTAACTGTATACTGGGCTGTATTAGGAGTGTTGCCAGCAAGTCATCAATGGTGAGGCCACACATGGAGTACCGTGTCCAATTTTGGGCTTCCCAGGACAAGAGAGACAGAGCTAATGGAAAGAGTCCAGCAAATGGCCACTAAAATGATGAAGGGAGGGGAGCATCTCTTATATGAGCAAAGGCTAAGAGAGCTGGGTCTGTTTAGCCTGGAGAAGGCTCAGGGGGATCTCACCAATGTATACAAGTATCTGACGGGAGGGCGTAAATATAGAGCCAGACTCTTCTCAGTAGTGTCCAGGGACAGGACGAGAGCTACACGCACAAACTTAAACACAGGAGGTTCCATCTGAACATTAGGAAACACTTTTTTTTTTTTTTTTATACTGTGAAAACTGTAAAAACTGGAACAGGTTGCCCAGAAAGGTTGGGGAATCTCCATCCTTGGAGATATTAAGAGACATCTGGACACGGTCCTGTGTAACCGGTTCTAGGTGACCCTGCTTGAGCAGGGGGATGGACTAGATGACCTTCAGAGGTCCCTTCCAACCTCAATGTTTCAGTGACTTTGTGATCCTGTAATACAAACCCAGATATTTTATACATCAGAAATTCTTTCTTGAAAGCCTTTCCGTCGAGGGTCCCTGCATGCAGGAGGGGAGTGACATCCCTCAGTTGACTACCTCTGTTACTCTCCATGAGTTTTCACCCATTTAAAAAAAAAACAACAACAAAAACAACTTACCTTTGGATTTCAAACACTTGGAGGTAGAAAGAAGGCGAGAGAAGTATTTACTCACACCAATGCTACTTTTCACCCTGCTCCCTGCTGATGTTATTAGGACTGCAGATCGGGTACACAGGGAGGAACAATAAGAGCACGGTCTTGCAGCCTAGTTAAGTGTGAGTATTAAGACATCTAAATTGCCCTGAATAAAGCCACGAGACAACATCGTTCTATCAAAGCGTGCCACGAGGGCACATCTGGTAGATGTGGACAGTAAACATTTCCGTTTGATTGGTTTTCAGCAAAGTTTAATCAAATCAGGATGAGAGAAAAGTGCGTTACCTTGACTGGGTACCCACCTACAGTCTGGCTTCCCGCAACACCATCCCCTTAACTGGAGGCAGCTTTTTGGCAGAGGTGGCCTGGTTGGCCTTATTACTGTCTGAATTCTTTTTATTGCTACTCCAAAATAAAGAGCATTTTTCCTAGAAGACAATCAGGCTAGTTTATGGAGCACTTGGACACGAATTCCACAAGGATTCCAATTTTAGGAGGAGATTTTTTTAATCACTGTTTACTAGAATCTAGTTATTAATGAAGATTTCAAAATTTAGGTTAAACTAAGCCCTAGTTAAGATTTCGGTCAGTGTCAAGCCAGTTTTAAAATGGTCTGTTTGCCTTTTAAATGGATCGCCACACAGGTTTCAGGCCACGTTAGCAGAGGAGAGCTATAATGCTGTGTCTGGGCATGTTTTATGCCTGTAAGGATTAACTCATTTTTTTAGAACTGCAGGTCCAACAGATGCATTTCAAACCGGCTCCACTACACACTAGACTAAGATTTAAGTGTTTCACAGTACCTCATCTAGACTGGGCTCAGGGCACGCCGCTCCCTCCAGAAGCCAGAGGCGCACAAGATACTCCAAGGAGGAGCCGGGTTCAGGGACACCTTCACGCTGGCAGACACGTGAAGGTGCGGACAATGCCCCCGCTCAGTGTCCCCTCTGACATCGCCTGTGACTTCAAGAGGGAGGACTGCGCATGATTAAGCAATCACCGCTAGATCAGCAACACTTCAATCAAATGAGGAACGCACCTTGGCTGCAAATTGCTGTCTTCCAGTTTACGAGCTCTTATCTATTCATTAGGCAGAGACTTTCATGTGTTGTTGCATAGCTTTCTTAGAGATTTATAAGGTCATTGAGGCTTTTTAATCACTTTCCAGGTAGTCAGACACTTCCTGCAGTTGATTTTTAGTTCTAGCACTTCACGACACTTTTGGCTGAGCACCCAAATACAGCTGGCTTATGCCTGGGTTTGGGATCTTTCACAAGCAGATGTTCAGTTGACTTGAGTGAATTTAAAATCCAGCTTTTCTTCCTGACCCTTTCGGGCACAGTTGAGGCTCTTTGATACCAGGAGTCAAGACTAGCACAAAGCAGGGCGAGGAAACGCCAGCCCAGGGCTGCGTAAGGTCTTAGAAACGGCTGCCCAGCAAATACAGGCATTTTTTTAAGGATGCTGGTGCTCTGCAGCAGAGGGAAATCTCTTTGCCGGCCACAACTTGCTGAAGCAGAGAGGTTCGGCGCACAAAGCCTGACCATCTCGGGAGCACAGAAAGGGTTTAGCGCTCAGCCCTCGGCCCCAGCATCGCTCCTGCCCTGCGGGGAAGTGCGTGGAGGAACAAGGGGATTTGGGATCATGTGTTTAAGTCAATTAAGTAGTTGTAGGCTTGGTTAAAATCCAATTACGTGATACTCTGAGCACCCTGGCGCTATTTGAAGCGGGTTTGCGTTAGCATCTCAGTAAGGGCAGCTACAGGGGGTTGAGCAAAAGCAGCCTCTGGCACGTGTCTCCCCTCAGCCCTCTCAGCCTAAGCACGGCTTTGTCATCCCCACAAGTAGCCTCTCCACTTCTGAGCTTCAAGGGCTCAAGCCCTTTGACTGTAGCACAGAACTAAATAAGCTTGCTTTGATACAGGTTAGTGCAGGGAGCTAGATCTCCACGTCAACAGCTAAAGCTTTTGGAGAGCTTAGTGTTATCAGAGGGATGTTTTGGAGCTGGAGCCACAGATCAAGTGTTTTAGCTGGTTGATATTCTGTCCTTACGGCTGAGGCCAGAGCGGTGTGCCGGCCGGGCACCTTCACCGCCCGCCCCGCGGTGGGGCAGCTTCTACCCAGCTGCCAGCGCCCTGCAGGCTTCAAAGGTCTTCGCTCCTCTTCAGTAAACCCAGATCCACAAAGGACCGGAGGGTTTAACTTCCAGAGCTATTTGGAGTAGTTTGCAGGGAAAGAAGTGAGTTTCAGGGGAAAGACAGGGTCCGGTCTGGGTTGAGAAGTAGCCACGGTGTCTGTGCCCCTTCTGCAAGAACACAGCGACTGCCTTTCCTTTGTGAACAAGCCACGCTCAAGTAGCTACAACCCCTGGAGAAGGCTCTGTTCGGGTTGGAAAGCTGTCGGGACCCTGCAGGGATGCACAGGTTTGTGCAATGGCAGAGACCTGCTGCCTTCCATGGAGGCCGGGCTGAGGAGCTAGGCTTGCTCCTTCGTTAGCTGGATGCGCTGAGAAGCGCCTCCTCCTACAGGAACCCACTGCCATGACCGTGGTGCACTGAGACAGCCCAAAACACTTTTACATTATATATTTGCAGGCTGATTTGTAGACGGCCAAGGAAGTCCTGCTGCTATGTGCTGGCACCTGGCACCATTAAGACATGATTTGTGGCATCAGCCAATGTTTCCTCAGGAGTGTTAGATTGTCAGCCCAATCTACATCAGCTGATTAAGTTTGATTTGACTAACAGCATCTCCCATTAGACATCTGCAAGTTCTTACCTGACTCCTTGCCATGAGTACAGCTGCTGAGATAACGAGCGGGACACTCAGCCCAAGGAAGATATACTGCAGGTAGTCCAGCAGGGTCGGGATCAGCACCAGGTTGGTGTAAAACTGCTTTAGGACTGAGCCTTCGATGGATCCGCTCTGCTCAAAAAAAAGAAAAAAAAGCAAAGTTGTCAGCAGCATTTCCCTCTCATCCGGGGCTGAGACAGACTGACTCCCCTCCCACCACCTCCCAGCACAGCTTAGGGAATTTATGGAAGAGTCAGTCAGGCTAGAAGCCTTTACTAAATATTTGGAGTCAACTGGACAGGCACCCAGCTGGAGACTTCACCCCCTGGCCCATATGAGCACGGAGACTCTGGCAGCTCTCCTCTGGGCCCTATTTAACCCCACAACTAGGACAGAGCCAGAGGTTTACCAAGTATAGTGCGGGGTTTGTTCAGCTCAGAGGGATTAACGACGCAGCCAAGTATTGCAAAGCCTTCTGTTGGTGTTTAATTAGTCTGTCTGGCTTAAAGCTTTATCCGACGTGGAGTTTCCCCAGCCCTGGGTGATGGGAAAGCAGTTCCCCCCCACCTCCTTCCCACAGGAGATGCTCTGCAGAATCAGGTCGAGGAAAGCAGCTCACCTCTGCAAACCACAGCAGCGGCAGGACCACTGGCTTAATCTTCCCTGTTTGACTAGGGAGGGGGAAAAAAAAAAAAAAAGGCACTTATATTTCTGGTTGATCAGGCCACAACCAGTGTCACAATTCTTCCTAAAAGGACAGCTCTGACAGACTGATATCGGCCAGGAAACCAGCATAAGGAGGCAGCAATTCCTGCTCTGAGCTGCTCTCCCCTTGAGAGCCCAGGTCCAACTTGGGCCTTTCGTGCAAGAGCAGAGCTTACGCTTCCACTCGCCCTTAACTCCCCAACGACAGCAGTAAGTGCCATCCCAAATCTGGGCTCCAGGGACACAAACTCAGAGCTGGAACGCTAAGCTTCATGCAGCTCCAAGATGTCTCGGTCACCTGCGTGGCACTACAGGGTGGTGCAGCCAAGTTCAGAGCATCAGGGCCGTCTGCTGCTGTACGCAACAGAGCCAAAGCAGCAAGTGCGCGCTCCCACCCTTGTGGGTATTTAACATCTGGCACCACACAGCTGTTAGAGAGCCCTTCTGTTTGCTTTCATACAGAGCTGAAGGTGTCTTTCATATAGGCTTCGTCAACCTCAGAGAGCATGTTTTGCCTTTTCACGTTGGATGCAACACCTTCTGAACAGCGGCACAGCGCAGGGGAACCGCTCCTGTGCCCCACCAGGAGGTGTGGTCCATTCATCGTCTGCCCGGTCAGGTGTGGGAACGCTGCAGGAGCCGAGCAAACAGGCAGCCACGCACTGTACTGCTAGAGGACAGCCGTTTGAGGTCACCGGTATAGCTGACATTTCACCACATGAGCCAGCTGGCTTCTGCAACCGTGACAAGTGGTAATTTCAAAGCCACTTCATCTCTGGGCAGAGCAGACTCTGCAGCAACCCCAGAATCAGCAGCACTCCCTGCCTGAGAAAGGGGGATGGCCGTTTCTAGAAGGTGACTACTTACATTATACCAGACACCTGCTTTATGTACAGGTTCAGCTGGAGCTTGATGGAGCAATTCATGGGGATGCCCGTCATCTGCATAGGGAGAGACCCACCACTTCATCAGTACAGCCAACATTTGCCTGGAGATCTCTGCAGAAGAGCAGCCCTTCGCTTTCCATCGCTGCTACTCTGGGTGCCACCTTCCGGAGCGATGGACTGGATCATCCAGAGATCCACTACCATCACCACACACGAGACCAGGAGCATGGCTGGGGTTTCCACCAAAGCACAAGCAACCGTCAGACAGGCACTGGTCCCCAGGCTCTGGGGCTGACTGCTCATGGGGGGACAGCACTGTCCCCATGGCAGTCTGCAGTCTGTCCCCTTCACTTGAACGCTCACCGGCCAGCGCGATTGGTGCACACAGCAGCATCCAGAAGGGAGTACCTCCCTTGGGGTGGCCTGAAGGCCCAAAGCAAACCTGACCAAATGTGGCTGCACACATTCAGCAGGCCAACAGCATGAACCAGGGAGGTGTTGTGTGCCTGGGGTCTTGTGGGACTGAAGCTAACCAAATTCAAATTACCAAATAGCATATGCAACCTATAGTTGACTCCCTAGGCGGTATGCTTTAATAGCAACTTCATTGCTTTTTTGAAGCCTGATGAACCTCTTCTGTTGTTCATCCTACCAGCAGCAGGATGGAAACACACCAATGCAAAAAGATTAATGCGCACAGCAAAGGACAAAACATTTCTTGTAAGTAGGAACCAAGAGCCACTGTCCAGCAACACCCTAAGACCATGAATGCACCACACTTCAAAGCTGGTCTTGTTGACACCCATTAAGGCATTGGTTTCTCATGACACTGCAGTTTTGCATCACGTTTTTAAGGGCAGAGAGTTTTAGTTGGATTGCCCCTGTTTGTACTCAGCAGGCTGCAGCTCGATAAGAATATATAGTTAATCGTACTGTTATCAGTAGATGTTTGATACTGTAATAAACTTAATTAGATTTCCGTAACTATGATAAGAAAAGCAGAGGGAACACAATGCCTAGATAAGAAGCACAGCTTACCTTACCTCAAGAGGGGGATTGCTTTCTTGCTTGAGCAAACATCACTGAACATTTGGGAGATCACAGAATCATTTAGGTTGGAAAAGACCTTTAAGATCATCGAGTCCAACCCTTAACCTAGCACTGCCAAGTCCACCACTAAACCATGGCCCTCAGCACCACAGCTACACGTCTTTTAAAAACCTCCAGGGATGGTGACTCCACCACTTTCCTGGGCAGCCTGTTCCAACCCTCGACAACCCTTTCTGTGAAGAAGTTTTTCCTAATACCCATCCTGAACCTCCCCTGGCACAACTTGAGGCCATTTCATCTTGTCCTATCGCTTGCGACTTGGGAGAAGAGACCGACCCCCACCTCACTACCCCCTCCTTTCAGGGAGCTGTAGAGAGCAATAAGGTCTCCCCTCAGCCTCCTTTTCTCCAGGCTGAACACCCCCAGTTCACGCAGCCGCTCCTCAGAAGACTTGTTCTCCAGACCCCTCACCAGCTTCATCACCCTTCTCTGGCCACGCTCCAGCACCTCAATGTCTTTCTTGTCGTCAAGGGCCCAAAACTGAACACAGTACTCGAGGTGGGACCTCCCCAGTGCTGAGTACAGGGGGGCAATTACTGCCCTAGTCCTGCTCACCACTATATTCCTGACTACATGCAAGGCAGGTCATGGGTGGAAGATCCCAAAGTCCCCTCCCCATCACCAGCTGGGACAATGATGGCTCAGCACACCCCAACTCATCGCCACTGGAGCAGTGACTTCACCCTCATGCTATAGAGAGGTGAGAAGTGTAATACTGCGACAGTCCAGTGCAGAAGCAGCCAGGAAGGCAAGTTGAGAGAGGAGAAGCCAGGCCAAAAATCATGGCGATAGCTTCAGCTACAGCGTGGTCTTCAGACTTTGCCAGTCATGGCAGTAGATATTTGCAGATCTGGGGCGTAACTGGGCTGCTGCGAGATACACCTCCTGGTGTCATGGACCTGAGTCAGTGGAAAGAACTTGACTGTGCTTATCAAAACAATTAAGCTTATAATTAGTCCTGCAATTCTCTAGAAGCCAGGCTAATTATTCAATTAGTTTATGGCTTTGACATTTTTATCTGCACATGTCCTTGCCAGTCTTTGCACTATGGAACCTGCTCAAATCAGTGCCACGAGAGCAGAGCGAGGCCACCACACAGCCAGTGGCAGGCTCCCCACCCAGCCACCCAGCCCGCGTTGGACCCCCGGGGCGAGGAGGGGACCCCACTGGGCTCACTCACCGGGTGCACGTCAAGGAAGAGCGCGTGCTGGTCCTTGCTGGGGTGCAGACCTTCCACAGCATCCACCAGGGTTGGGTCAGCATTGTAGAAGTGAGGATGGGAAATGAACATTGGGGCTTCTGGATGAGAACAAAGACACCTTAAGCTCATCCAAACCCATCCGAGAACTTTTCTTGAGGTTTTTAAGCCATTGCAGCTGTTTTCCTGACCAGGCTTTTATACTCTTCTCCTCCCAACCAGAAAGCTCCTTCCCTTGCTTCCCTGCAGCTTATTCCACTGCTCCGGGAGGGTTAAGACCCAGGGTTTAAGCCACCTTCTCCCGCCGTGCACCACGCAATGTCACGGTAACTTGCTGTACGCAGACACAGGTTAGGACACTAAGTCTAAATTCTCATTCCTGCGTGACCTGCGCTCAGCGTCCAAAGTTAACATTTAATTTGGCAATTACATGGCCTGCCTCTTCCCGCCCTTGCTCCCCAGCCTGCAGGACATAAAGTTCCTGACATACCCCTGGGCATTCCCAAAACTCCCGGCTGTCGTAGGGCTGTGGACCGAGGAGTCTTTGGGCACAAGGATTTTCACCCTTTCCCCCCTTCCCGAGATGCCTGCGGGAGTGCAAGGGAGACCGCTGTGCACGCAGACCCCAGCGGTACCTTTTAGCACTCTGGCAGAGAGCAGAGCTGATTTTCCAGACAGCCAAGCTCGTATCACATCCCTACGGTTTAATATCGGTAGGGCAGGGAGAGCCCAGGGAGGACAGGACTTACTTAGCCTACAGGTACTGACGTTCTGGATGCCGGACTGCATGCAGGGGCAGAAGCCTTCATTGGGTGGGTAGTCCGTGCCGTTGGCAAAGAGAGTTTTTGGTGCCACGAAGCGATAGGTGGGCACACCCTCAAACTTCCCAGACTGCTCGTACACCAGTGTCATGGATCTGGAAGGGTTTCAGTGGAGAAGGATCAGGATTAGCAAACAGGTTCCCAACCCAGAACCGAGCTCTTATCTTCGCCGGATAAGATGCGGTTGCAATGTAACTTAGACTTTGAGATCAAGATAAACACTCAGAGCAGTGCTTTGGATGGGGAATGAGTATTTAAGCCGTTTGCTTTCCATGTTTTAAGCACAGATAAAGGGCTGGTCAGGACTAGTTACGGAGAGAAACCACAGGCTTGTAAGTCCATTTGCAGTATCCAGCTGAGATTTGTTTAAAGGCACGCAGTAATCCCCAGGGCTGCTCTCCAAGAGGTAATACCCTCTTTGTGCAAACCTTGGCTCCGAGGTAGAAGTGCTCTGTTACAGGGGACGGACACCGGCTAAATATCTCTCGCAGCACAACTCCAGCATATAGGCTGTCAGGGCAGTGGAAAATTTTGCCTTATGAATTACATTATGCAGCAAGATTTTCTTCTTGATACAACAGGCTAGTGATGTTATGCTGCATTAATGCCACCAACTGGCCAGGATAGATGCAAGTTTCCAGGAGGGAAGTTTGCTTCCTTCACACCTGCTCCTTTGAGTGAGACTTGCAGGGATGCAGAGAGCCCAGGCAGGCCAAGAGGATGCTTATGCCTACAGCTGCCTCTGACCCCAGGACCAAGGATGGGGGATTTGGGGCACGTTCAGCAGTTACGTGCATGCCTCTTGGCTTCGCGCACCTTCCAGCAAGGAGGCAGAGGCTGCTGCAGCTCATCAGCAGGATAAAGCCTTGCCTACCTTGCAGGGACATCCAGGTAGTGCAGCTGATGCTGAGATGCAGCTTAGTGTGCAAACAGCACAGGAGATGAGCCCTGCGTGCCCTGCAGGGAGGCAGGTATGCTCCTAGTCTATCAACTGATGTTTGTGACTCCTTCACAGAACCGCTTTGGTTGGAAGAGACCTTTAAGATCAAGTCCAACCGTTAACCTAGCACTGCCAAGCTTCCACTAAACCACATCTCTTCCTTGCCATCCGGGCTAGCAGAGAGGCCGAGATAAAGACCCAGGGAGAAGAGGCAACACTGCCTGGCGAAGAGACAGAGCCACTTTCTCCACAGCACTGTCCTACAGAAACCTCTTGCGCTAACAAGAAACCAAGCTTGGTTTCCTCCTTCCTTGGTTTGCCTCGCCAGGAGACACGCTCTGTTCCCTAGAAGATTTCTGTAGTTTTACAGAAAAAAGGTATGTGTATTTAAACATTGATTACCAGCCAGCTTCCCTGCAAGTCCTTGGCTCCAGGTCATTTTGGTATTTGCTGATGTCCCCTGTGTAGAGGAATTCCTGCACTAATACTTGGCTCAGCTGACTTTGCTTGTTCCGCTGAAGAGGTCATTGTTCTCTATTCAACATGAGCACTTGCTTGTTTTGCAGCGCTATCTACAAAGCCTGAATTAACATTATCTTCCCCAAGCTGGGGACAGGGTTTTTGTGTCACCAGCCTCCCGGCCTCCCCTCCTTCCAGCCTCAGGGAGTTTCCACACAGGCAGGCTCTGCAGGGTACTTTAACCCCTGTGTGATCAGCTAGGGTCAGGGTGGTTTATATGGGACAGACATACATGGCAGTGCATGAACTCAGCAGCAAAAAAAAAAAAGAAAAAAGAGAAAAGCAGCAGTCTGGAAATGGTGGCACGCACACACACACACCCCCCACCCCCCAACATCACTTCTGCAAGCATTTAGTCAGCTGAAAGTTCCGCAAATGGTCATAGCTGCATTTCCTTACAGACGACTCTTACTTCTCCTTCGCCTCCAACATCTTATCTAGACCGGTTATTGTCTACTGATTCAACACAGGCAAGTTAGGCTTCTCCAGCCATCTGGAAGGTGTTCATGAATACCACAAGATGCTGCTAATTAGACAACTATGCTGTTTGCAAAGCCCAGACACCGCAGCACTGAACTACAACTGAACTTTAACTACAGAAACTAGACCCGAGCCCTCTGCGTCACTGCACAGGTACTCTGCGCACAGGACGAGCGTTGCATCTCCTGCCACCTGCGCAGGGACAAGGTGGCAGCTGTGGCCTCACCTGCAGGCATCAGGGCTGTAGAACTCCAATGATGTTGGGGACATGAATGGTGGCCACATCTCCCCCGCGGTCCCATTGATCATGTTGCACTCGTCGCTCCGCCAGTAGTTTACCTGCGGGACAGATGTAGAGAGAAGTGCTCAGAACATCGAGCTTGCTGGAGAGTTGGCTTCCACCCCCCTGCATGGGACATCCACCACTCTACACTACTTCCCTAGGAGCTTGAGATACCAACACTGAAGAGCTTCCAAGATCTCTCCCATTCAAACAGTTGGCTGATTAACGGAAAAACAGGACAAGATCACCCCATCCCAAGTGCTCCCACAGTGACTGATCTGTAGATTCAGTTGAGTTTAGTTTAGAGTGGAATTCCACAAGGGAAGAATAAGCACCTCTTTAACAAGGATATATAAATAACGCCTTAAACACAGGCCACCTGAGCCTAGGACCTCAACCATCAGAAGCAAGTAGCTCCACCAGCATTTCAAGGGAGTCCAAGTGACACTGACGATGAGCTGAACTTAATGCCTCATGACAAGCCTCCTGTCACGCGGCTGCTTTCTGGCCTTTTGACAGAACAGAAGTTGAAGTCCCATAGAAACTTGCCTTCAAATCCACAACCCAGAGACGCAACAGCACCAAGAGCTTTCAGTTTACCTTGCTTTAGATCAGGCATCACCCCCGTATTAGAAGTTTGCTGCCCAACGCTCACCTTCTTTAGGCCATTCCATGAATCCACCATGTGAACTCTACTGATGTTCTTCATGCCTGTGTTCACTGTAAACAGTCCCGAATTGGAGTTGTTAAGCTGCAGAGAGAGGTAAGTAGTTTTTAATCCATTACATACAGGAAGACTGCAGTATGTTAATGACTTTGCGTGCTTCGTCAGCTCTAGGGATGCTTCATACTGTAAGCTGCTGAACTTTCACTTATTTCAACTGCCAGCAACAGCTTCCAACACGTGCATTTCTGCTCGAGGGAAGAATTAAGGCAGCCTTACACAACCACCACCAGCTACACATGGCTGCTCCAAACAGCTTGCAAGGGGGATAGCCCAGACACTCAATCCCAAGACCAATATTGCTGTGATTTTAGTGTTCCTAACCAACAGCTTACTTACCTCTACAAATAAGCCAAATTTTCCCTTGAAAGGGATGAGGCCAGGAACAAGTGTATTTATTGTGTCTATAAGAGGGTCTTCATACCCCCACAGGATCTCCCCCACTGTCCGGTTCATGAAGGCCTCCTGTTTCAGGCCAGCCAAGGCTCCACTTAATAAAAGCTTCACAAAGTTTGGCAGGTTTTCCATCATTACAGCCGCTCCCTGGGAAAGAAAACAAACCTCTTAGACGAGAGCCCCATCTTGACCAAAGAGGAAGCAATGCACCTTCAGCGCTCAGCGAGGTCCCTCTGCTGCATCGCTCCACAGCCCTAGAGAAATCACTTGGACAAACTGAGGTTCTGAGGTTCAGCATCTATCCCCAGTCAGTGAAGGAAGCGGTTGAGGGCTCTCAGGCTTCATTTCCCCAGAAGATGCTCAGATGCGGTTGCGGACTCGAGCCCAGCTGCTTTGCCAGCCCCTCTGAACACTCTGCTTTTGGAAGGGTAACAGCCCGACGTGACAACCAACACCCAGAAAGCAGAAAACTGCATTTTATAAGCTTAACCACCTCGTGGCTTGACTAGCCTTAAGTCCTACAAGAAAGTAAGTTTTGGGTCAGCATTGGGCATCATGGCCCTCCCTGCAAACTCAGAAGTTGGTACCCACCCAGGGAGCAAGTTCTTACCATCATCAAAACGTTTGGCACAACGATGTACTCTTCTTCACTGCCATTGGACATGTCCGGCTGGAAGAAGAGTTTCCGGTACTCCAGGAAGGAGACGGTGTCATTGTCATGGAATGTGATATTTGTTTTATACCTGAACTCTCTGCAAAGAGATGGGAGAGATCATAGGAACCTTCCCTCACAAAAGTGCCCCTGCAACCCCTGTGGAGCAAGGATGGGCTGCACAGGCCTGGGCTTGCTTCTGAAGAGCAGAGGAAGGAGATTGAACCCCAGCAAGAAGCCATGGGACAGCAGGGGAGGCAGCGTGCACGGGAACAGGCAGTGTCAACCTCACACCCCGAGCAGGGTTAGGGTCTAGCAGGAGGAGATGGCAGCCTGGGAGTGAGGCATCCCCGAGAGATGGAATTCTGCAGCAGCTTGCGGGCATCAAGTATTTCTTCCCAGCTGACAAGAAGTCTGAGACAAAAACGTAAGTCACCTCTGCTATTTTGCCTACAGCTGTTGAAAAGCCCAGCCCTATCAGAGAGATGCCCAGATAAGCAGACCTACACCAACCCACACACCAAAACAACCTGCAAAACAGGAGAGGACCAAACAAGGCGGCACAAGCCCCACCAGTGAGCCCACACGGATTCACCCCAGAGTTCCCTTGATGGCTCCTAGGTTCAGGGCAGTTCAACCCTCCACGCAGCATCATGGCTCTCCTGCTCCTCAGGGCTTTGGGCCATGCCATCTCCTGCAGCCCGCCCAGCACCACTCCGTTCCATGCCATGGGGGACGCCCAGTCTCATGGGGGCTACAACGCTCCACAGTAGCACGAGACTGTCCCCAACATTGCGAGCCTGTTACAGCTCCTGAGGAAGCTGAAGCTCAACCCACCAGCAAAAACAAAGTCCTTTATTGTGGAGCCTCTGTTTTATGGCGACACTAATAAGCTTTGCCCCTTTGTTTATTCTTATGGTAAGCGAGGCCTTTTCCCCAAGCCAAGTGACTGATGCGATCACAACATACAGAATCCACATGGTTTTATGATGTGACCTGGCAAGCCCAGGGGAAACGAGGACATATACATACTGCCAGGTTTCCCCCCCAACGCTACTCAAACAGCTTTGGATTAAACCAGTAATCTCCCCACATGAGCTTGCTTAGGCTGCTGACCTAACTTTGCCTATATGTGTAGGCACTAATGTGTTGATTATCGCTATTTACAGGTAAGTTCACACACACAACTCAACATCAACCATCACTTCACCTTTCAAGCCCAGAGAAGCATCTAGGGCTTCAACCACCATCCTCAGCCATGGCAAATAGACCCAGCCTTGCTGTAGGTGGGCCTGAGCAAGTTTCAGAGCTCCATACTGGTTCTCATGACCACAGCATTCATGTTAGGCAGATTCTGGGTCTCACCTTAGATAAGAGGTCTTAGGCCATTCCATGAAGTTTGGTATTGAGGGGACTCCAGCTCTGGAGCTGGACTCTTAAATGCACAGTGAAGATGAAATAAGTTCACTCTGAAGATGAAGGCTGCCCATCACTCCACCAACACACCTTGTGCCTACGTTTGGACCTTATCAGACCAGGTTTGGTTGCCCAACGGGTCCCAGCATAGGACTGAGCTCCACAACTCAGTGTAGCACAGACCAGCCTTACCACCCAGGCGGCCAGAGGTCCTACTTGTGGCTTTAGCAAGATCAGAGCAATTACAGAACATTTGGGTCACTTTAAAATCCTGTGCCACTGGACTCACGCCAAGTATGCTAATGCTGTGTCCTCCTGCCAGAAGAGTCAGCCAGAAGCCTGGCAGGCAGCATGGTGGCCGGGCTCATGCCTCGCTGGACCACAAGCGGTACCTAACCTGTAAACATAGGGTCCACGCTGGTTCAGCACCGGCTTTGCTCCACGGAGGACCTCCTTGGGGTTCAGCACTTCAAAGAAGTATACAGACATGTAGAAAGGAACGGGAATATCTTTCCACATGCTGAAGGACACACTGCTGGGGTCGATCCTGACGTTCTGCATGGGGGAAGAAAAAAAAATTTAGAAAAAAAAAAGAGAGTAAGGAGGCCAACTCTCAGGCTTGGTGGCTACAGCTGAGCACATCCATCCTTGGCTCCACATCAGGGCCAGCCGAAGGCGGCAGTTCCAGCAGTGGCTCTCCAGAGGATCCAGGCGTGTTATGCAGACTGAAACCGAGCCAGATCTAAACTGGGAACTCTTATGTATGCAGAAGCATAAAGTTCAGGCCACAGGATGTCTGTAGGCTTATTTATTCAGGCTCAACTTTCCAGATCCTACCCACAGGATTTCGGAGCTGTTTTGATGTGCTGGAGGCTTGCTCCACGCCAGACAAGCCAGCGCTGAATTATTCACAGCTCGGCATGTTTGACTTGCCTGGCACAAACAACCCTGTCCCCGAGGCCTCCACCCGTCTGCCAGGTTTGGCAGCTCCACACCGCCAGAAGCAGGCAAGGGTTGGCAGAGGTGGCACACGCAGCCGCACAACTTTGGGTACCGGCGGGGAGGACCCACTAGATTCCCCAAAAAGCAGCTAGAGAAGCGGGATGGCGACCCAGCTGCGTCCCCGACACCTTTGCCTCCTCTCAGCTGCCGTCCTGTGGTGACTCATAGTCGGTCATAAGGCAGGTCAAAGGCGATGCGCCATCGTGGCTTCCATATCGCCGTCCCGTTTGCTGGGAAATGCCTGCAAGAGCCCAAATGTGACTTAAGCCCTCAGCAGATTCCCAGTCCGGGAGCTGGCATCTGGGCACATCTGTCTTATCTCCCTCCCTGCCTCCTGAGGGCTGCCTTACGGACAAGAGCCTGTTCCTTCTTGTTTCCCATTTATTTGGGGTGTGTTCCGCCATAATCTTTGCTTCTTTTACCAGCACAAGCCCTTGCCCTGGTTAGGTAACCCAGCCAGCTTATGGAAGCGGGTTAGATCCACTAATTGCTGGAGGCATGTGGGTATTATCCCGCTGCAGCTCGGGCAGCCCCGCAACGGCTCTCCTGCCCTGGAGCAGCTCGGTCTGACCGTGCACGTATTTGCTGCCACATGGGGGGTGAGAAGGAAAGCTGCCGGAGGCTTCCCCGCCATGCCCCGTGGTTCTTCAGGCATTTCTCAGCCAGGCTGTGCCACCCACCAGCAGGAGGGCTCCGCAAGTCCCTCGCTCAGACCCAGGTCCTCCAAGCCCTACCCATGAGGTGACAACTCCACCGGACAGTATAACCCATCCAACAAATCCTTCCCACCCCCACATCAACACCCGCCTGCTGCTGGCCGAGAGCCTCCGTCCTCCAGGATTTCATGGCAAAGCAGCAGAGGAAAAGAGCAACTCAGATTTTACTTCGCCCACTTTATAATCCCTACTCCCGAGTGCCCAAGAGAGACCGGATCCATTTTCCTTTACTCGCTTATCCTGTCTTGCACTCCCGGGATCCCTCATTGCATATGCATTTATTTGTGTCATATGTACCCAGTCAGACGGAGCTGCATCCCACCTCCCTGCTACCTCTCAGCCCTCTCCTGTCTGGGCACAGCAGCTCTAGGTACTCCACAGATGCTGCTCAGTAAGGTCTACTCGACAGGGAAGCCTTAGAATTAAGCTGCTTGTAGGTCAAAATAAACGTGGTCATACGTCTGAAATAAAAATAGAGTATTCTTCACTTAGATGAGTTACAAAGTGTCACTGAGATGTCTGACCCCTCCTGACCAGGCTGATCTCTGCTCCTGAGGAACTGAAAGGAACTGGCTACTGCTTATCTCCTCCAGACAGCACCATCATCAGCACCCAAATCCTGCTTCTCCAGGAGTGGGGCTTCAGCCACTCTGCTCAGCAAAACCAAGAGTTGAGGTTTCCTCTTCAGGTGACACTGCACGCAAGCACAACCTCAGCGTCAGACCTCATCCTCCCCATCCCCTCACCACCGTCCTCACCATAACCCTGACAGAACAGCAAGGACAGTGCTGTCAGTCTTCTCCCAGCTTTCCAGTGGGACAGCATGAGCGTTCCCAGGTGGAACAGGAGAGTTAAGCAGCAGATGGGTGAGTGGAGGCAGTCTCACTGAGAGCTCATATCTCAAGGCAGGTCTGTGGCATGCCGGGTGCTTCCAGGTCCCCTGGTTTTACAGGGCCAACGCCACAGACAACCCAGCTGCCGGTGCAGATTCAGCTTCTGCAAATGGGGCAGAAGATGGGCTCCAAGTTCCCTGTTTCTACTGCCTGTTCCCCTACAGACTTTACTCAAAGATATCCCCAAAACTACCACCTCTTTGCAACTAAGTGCTTTTCCATCAGGATATACCATCTTGGCAGAGCTCGGGAAGCCTTCACCTCCTCAACCCCAGCCCTTCAAGGCCCAGCTCCCCTCACCCACACCACTCTGAAGACCAACCCAGGAGTTTCAGTGAGGCCCTGGCTATTCCTCACCACGCTAGACATCATCACTCAGTTATTTTTTCCATTTCACATTAAGCCTCATAAGAGCTCAGGACCATTTTGGGTGAGGCTGAAGATGTGGAGACCAAGGGCTTGAGATGAAGGGAGACCTGAGGAGAAACGAGGGCTGGTCTTTTCCTCATCTTCTGTTCTCATTGCAAGTTACTAGCGTTTAGCTAATCAGATAGAAATAATCAGGAGTAGCTAAAAAGAGTGCAAAAGGGTTTTCACACCAGAAATATCACTCCTGTTCTGAAGGGGACACTCAGCCTTTTCTTTGCAGGTACGAGCTCCTGATGGCCATGAAACTGGACAAAGATGGACATTTACTGCTGAAGCCACAGGACTGCCTAGCTTTGCCCAGCCAGCAGCACTTCCAGAGCATACATTTAAGTAGAAGTTTGGTTTTGGCAGAGACTTTGCAGCACATGCAACCACAGCCATTGGCTATGGGGCGGTCACCTCTTTCATCAGGAGCACATTTCCAGGTGCTGACCTGGGTAGGTGCAAGCTTGGAGAAACATCCAGGCAGGGGGCACGTCTCCTCTGGGCAAGGAGAAAAAGGTTTGGCTAAATGTGGGGATGAGCCAATTGGTTCGTTACAGCAGGATAACTGGTGTCCCAGGACAGGAGCACTGGTTCCCATGTCTCTGGGGAGCAGTTACAGAACTTCATCCACAGCCCCATATCTTATCCATGGGGGACAAACACCCCTTTGGCCTCAGGACATCTCTTGTGGGTAAGAGAGGTCTCCAGAGAGGCAGCTCCTTGGGTTTTCCAGATGGGCAGGAGAGGACAACTTGGAGGCTGCTCTGTGCACGAAGCTCCATCAGAGCACCCCTGCACACCGCCTGTCCTATTTCCAGTTTGGAAAGCATCTCACCAGAGCACATCCGAGCCTGGCGATCCGCACACCTATTTACAAGGGGAGCGCTGCCGGTAAAGGCAGGAGGAAGAGCTGCTGCTGGGGACCACGCTCAGCCCGGCACCGTCCCCACAGCCCACGGCAGCTCCGCAGAAAGCCTTTGCTGACCAGGAGGAGCCCCTTCAGCCTTCAGCTCGCTGCAACCACGGGTGGAAGGAAGAGCCCAAGCCCGGGTTTGCCCGCGGTGAGACCGTGAGGCTGCTCCGAGCGACGCGGACCCCGGGGTGCTCAGCTCTCCCCCACCCCCCCCCGGATCGCACCGGACAGGCAAAGCACACCCACGCCCGCACACC